TAGTAAAAGATTGATTACCTGGAGTTAAAAAAAAAATTATTCCCAAATCTCTTTCAGACATTCTTTGGCAAGCAACAGCTGACATGGTAAAAGCTATAATTTTCCTCACAAGGCTCCAGAAAAACTGATGGAAGCAGATGAGATTCATTTTAAATTAACATTAATTGTCATTAATTCATAATGGAAACTCACCAAGCCAGAGAAATTCTGCCATCATGGCACTTGTGATTTTCCCTGACTGGATGGCTTAAAAACAAGACATAGTTTTCAAGGGAAGATACAGAAGCCTCAAATGTGTCACTGTTCCACTCATGACTACTACAGCACACCAGTTCCTCCAGCCTCACCTCCCACCACCACCACTCACCCCTGCTGAGGCACACCAAGCCCCTCCAGCCTCACTTCCACCACCACTCACCCCTACTAGAGCCCATGCAGCCTCTCCAGCCTCACCTCCACTACCACCACTCAACCTAATAGAGCTCACCCAGCCCCTCCAGCCTCACTCCCACTACCTCTGCCATTCATGAGTGTCTATTTCAACTTCCTCTTTCCTGTGCCCACGTACAACTTAGCTCTCTGCTCTTTGACTTCCCATCAGAATACCACCACCCCATCCTCTGCCTGTGCTTCTAGGACCAGCACAAATCCCATACCCACCAGAGGGGATGCTTTATGTTGATTCCACTAGCTCATTGCTATTTTGCTTTCTTGACTCTGAACCCAGACAACTGGATGCCATTAAAATAGCCTTAGTATATATGCCTCCTATCAAGGGCAGAGACCTCAAACTCCTCGCACAGCTGTTTGTATACAGTAGGTGCTCCAAAACACTTTAATGGTTTATTCTGGCAAACATGTGAGGGCAAGAGAAGGCAAGAACAAGATGGCCTGCACGGGGCTTCCTGAAAACAGTCACTCTGGTTACAATAAAATAGAATGGAAGATGCATTTCCCAGAAAGGACAAGAATCTTGCTCTGACCACAAGTCAAGTCTATCTGGACCTGGAATTAACTTTTTACATATGTGGGAAATCAGAGGAGTTGGGGGAAAATTAAGTTGAGATTGGCTGATGCTGATAAGGAGTGCTTTTTTTGGGCTTTTCCTCAGTACTATCCTATACTAAACTGCAAAAATAATAGTGCTGAAAATTACTCATTAGCAGTAGTATGACAGGTATGTCCTATCCACTCCTTTCTTCAGATCAATGAATCTATATCTAGTTTTATCCTTAAGGCTTTTTCCTACTGTCCCCTAGCTCGGTGGAGGAGGGGGGAGCTGAGTTACCCTCTTGGGACCCAAGGGAACCACAGAGATGACATGCCAAGCCAGCTCTAGCTGCAGGGGTGCAAATGCAACCTGTCGCTGGCACCCATATTTGGTTTACATCTTTCTGCTTTACTGTGTTTTGGACCCTTAAAGGGCAAAGGACTTAGACTTGGGAAAATGCCACCCCAGAAATGGCAAAGGGGCAAGAAGTCAGCCAGGCAAAGGCTGGCTTGCTCTCCATTTGCAGCACCGGTTTCTGTCTCTTTCTCACTTGGCTTTCCCTGCCCCTTCTTGTTTGAGGCAGAGTGTCTATTTGTCTTCTCTCTCTCTCTGTCTCCCTGGCTCCTCTCTCACAATGGCCTTTCCATAGGACACTTGGAAGTGAGAAGAGCTAGCTTCTGGTTCTACCACTACCATTAACCAGCAGTATACTCATGGCAAAGCTACTTTAAATCTCTAACGTTGAATTGGACGCGTTTTCCAGGTCTTTGACAGCTCTGAGATTCTATCACTGAATGAAGTGGAATCAGCTGACCCAGGAGCAGTTGCTGCCATAAAGAATCAGACTGGGAGCTCCTAAATGCACCAAGCACCAGAGGGCGCCCGAGGACCACTCAAAGAGGTTGTGACTGTCAACCCAATATTGACTGAGGCTCTACCCTGTACAAGGCAGCAGGGTGCAAAGCACTGTCCTGGTATTTCATGCAGTCTGATGAGACAATTCCTATTATTATCCTTCCTGTTTTAGAGGAAAAGAGACGAGCAGCAGGAGGTGAAGATTCACACAAGGCCACATCGACAAGACATGCCAGAGCAGGATTTACACTCAGACCATCTGACACCAAGCCCATGCTTGTATTCAGGGATGTGTACTATCCTGGCCATCGATGCGCCCTCATAAGCTCCCCATGTGTACTACTGGGTCCCAAATGTGCATCTGGGGTCTTAGACACAGACTACATGGTTCAATCAATTTTCTCCTCCATCAGGACAGCAACTGCTATAACAACTCCATCAATACTCTATTGCCTTGCACAGAGGCTGTCATGTTCTGGTAGTCTTCTGTTTTCTGGTAGTGTATTTTCAATGTGCACATCTTGTGTTGTTCTAACCAGCAGGCATCTTTCCAGTATCTAGTACAGTGCTGTACCCATGGTTGAGGCCCAACTTTGTTGAGTAACTGACGAGCACCATGATACTTCATGAGCTCTGAGGTTATGTTCTTTCATCCACGGCCTGGGCGGTAAACAACCAGAGTCTCAAGACTCACATCACAATCCCCATGGGAAGACTCCAGCTACTTCCTAGCAAAGTAACTGCTGGATGGGTTGGGAAGCAGGATGGCATGAGATGCACTTCACAGAAGCAGAAACTGGGAGTCAGCTAATTTCAACACAATTCAGCAAATATAAAGAAAACCCCAGTTTCGTGCCAGACACAGAGCTGTAAGATTCAGAAGAGAAAATGATGGTTTTTGCTCTCATCTACTGGAATAGATGAGACATGCAAAATTTTAAAATTTAATGTAATGCAAAGGTGAAAATGTTATTGAAGTTATATATACACACACTTATATATAACTGTGGGAGCATGAAATTACTTGTCCAGTGTGATCCTGAAAACTAGGACAGACTCAAGTATGGCTGGGAGTCAGAAGATCAGAGATCAAGTCCTTCCTCTACTCTAGCCCTCAAGTGTTCTGAAGCACCAGAACTAAATAGGTTGTCTTGGCATCAGGTAAACAGTTGAGACCCTCATTGAGTTTAAGATTCCTAATTTTTCCACAGATTTCCTTGCATCTGTTCCAGCAAGTGATTGAGTGATTGAGACAGTGGTCCTCCTGTCACATATCCTGAAAAGAACAATGGAGCTAACCCTCCTGAGAATCCAGTTCTCCAGGAAAACCCAAGCTCCCACCACATCCATCTCATAATCTTCCATGTGCTTTTACACAGTGCAAACAACATGGCGAACGGATAGAGTCTTAAATTTCAGAAGGACTCTCATTTTCAAGAGTAGGATACAGAATAGACAGAGGCACCATTTTAGTATACTTTTTGTTCATTTTAGTTTTAATATCATGGGGACCACAGAAAAGTGTGACCACAGCAGCCCCCCAATAGTCGAGTCTGGCCAGCCACCCTCCTTGCAGCCCTTTGGCAGCTCTCCAGAGTCTACCCTAGCTGCATAGCTATAAAGTAAAACAGTGGGACAGTGAGGAGGATACCAAGGGGCTGTGCAAGCTGCAACCCTCATCATCTCCCATGATCTCTGTGAGTTCACTGAAACAGCCATGTCCACTCTTTTGTGCTTTGGAGTGTGGTACTCTGTGTATGTCATTCATAGGCTGCCTCCCAGTTTTCCTGAGTTAGGGTACAATATAAGGATGTGGATGGCTCCAGATGGCAGGAGCAGGCAACCAACTGATTCATTTGCTTTTCCATCCTGGCAGGCCCCGAGCTGGGCTGGCACATCAATAGTCCCCATCTGTCCTGGGGCAGGGGTGTCTGTTCCTCTAGGATTCAACTGATAGCCAGCTGGGAGAAGGCACTGCAAGGGAATTAGAGCAGCTCAAGAAGGGGGCATTGCCTGAAGGCCCCTGTGCTCTTGGGATTAACTGCACAGTGAGAGACCCTTACATGTCAAAGTCAGTGATAAGGATGACCCCTTCGTCTGGTCTCTCCACCTCAGGCAACAAGCACTAGGGGTCCTATCAATAACAGGTAGGAAGGGTGTGCCCAGAGAGACATGGATAGCTAATTCTCAATCTTCCATGCACATTTTACCACACTCTGGGATTATACCTGTTCAACTGTGCAGAAGAACAGAAGGAGAGTAAACTGCTCCTTTTTGTGTAATGCTGAAATTACGGTGGCCACAGAAATGCTTGAAAACTGGTATTTGAGCACAAGCACCCCACCCCTGCCTCCCACAGTGAACTCAGAAGGAGGTAACCTCCGCCTTGATTTCAGACCCTAGCTCCCAACCAGCCAGCCACTCTCACCCCCACCAATCTATCCATCCTCCCAGCCAAGTTTCCCAGCAGAACCCAGGAAGACAGAAACAGGGAAAGTACAAGGGGAGACAGGGCTACTTCATGTGCAAGGGCACATGTGGTGAGGCTGTCTTTTATGGTCATAAACATAACCATTTCTTTATTATTTGTGGTAGAGGAAAAAGCCATGACTGACATGCAAAAAGTCAGACGAATCCAGAAATCACATCTCATCATGGAACACACAGTAAACAATAAATAGCCCATGTTTTTAATCTGGCTTCACAGGTCTTACCTTGCCAAGGAACCCTGTTTCCAACCCACAGCTCTCTGGCAGGCCACCTTATCCCTTATTGAAAAGTGATCCCACTTTCTGTGGGGCCCAACTGTGGTGCTCAGATCACTCCCCCAACCTCCTGAATTGCCTAACAATCTCACTGCCAAAGGTCAAGCTCAGGAAAAGAAAAATGCATTGCATGACTACTGGTCACTGCTGTTCCTGAGATGGAATCTCCCTTCCCAGCTCCACATACTATGAAGGTCCTGTCAATCAAGCTGCTTAAGCAAGTAGTGTGCAAATAACAAGTCCAGGTTTTTGCAGCATGGGGGAGTTGCTGGGGACTGAAATGCCATCTTCCTTGTATAAACCTAGGCTTTCCAAGGTCTCATTGCCCAGGTCAGGGCCTCGAGCTCAGCCTGCCTCATGGGAAGGAATAGGGAAGCAGAGCAGTTTACCTGCTGGACATCCTGCTGGAAGACGCAGAGCTGCAGCCGCTGGTGGAGCCGCACCTTGCGGTGCTGCCAGATGCTCTCAAGCCGCCGCTGGTGGTGCAGCACCTCATGGACCACATCCAGGACCTGGTGCACTGCCTTGGAGTAGTTGGCTGTGGCTGTGAGGGACTCAGAGTTGCCAGGACTCAGGGGACGCTGTAGCACATCCAGCAGTGCCTTGCCATCCTGGCTAACCTGCAGGAAGGAAAGAACCTTGGTCAAAGGGGGGAGAGGCATGTAGGGCTCAGAGAGAGGCTAGGAGAGTATGCCCTGGGTCTGTGGTTAGGCCTGAGTATCTCAATCCTCCCAAGGCCGGTCACAACCAAGAAATGTGCTGGCCAGAGTGCCCCAGTGTCCTGCATGCAGCCTTGGGGAGGGCTGAGCATCCTGGAAACCTGGGGGAGAAGAATGGCTGGACATTCTCTCTCTCCTCTTGAATTTTAGCTTCATAAGGACTAGGGACTCTGCCTTGCTCATAGCTCTCTCCACAGAGGATATAGCTAATTCTCCACAGCATCTGGCAAGCAGTAGGCACCTGCTGAATATTTTTACTTACTCACGGACTAGATCAGTCAGCAGAACTTCATTTCAGAAAGGAAGCCACCTATACCATCAGCCTTTACCACTCTTTCTTACTCAACTTTCTCTACCTGGCCCCAAACCTTCAGCTATATGATCAAAGGCAAGTTATGTAATCTCTCTGAGCATCAATCCTTTGTCTATAAAAGGAAGAGATTAGTGGTACGTCCCTCAGAGTCATGGTGGGTATGATATGAGCTAACCCTTGGAGCGCACGTAGAATAGGACCTAGCACATAGTAGTGGCTGCTGGGATTTTCTTCTGCCCCCTACCTTCCCTTCCTCCACCATCATTCCTGCCTTCCATCTTCTTTATTCTCCTGTATGCTCTTTTATTTTTTTTTTTTAACATTCTGCTCTTCCTTAATACAATCCCCTTCTTTCTCATGAAGATCAGGAACAAGCAGAGTAAGGCAGGGATCCTCAGATTCTGCCTATGCCACCCATGCTCCCAGGCTCCCCAACACTCAGTGCTGAGACTGGGGCTGGGGTGGGGCTGATATACTATCATTCCTCTCTCTGGAAACCTGGCACAAAGGCACCAACAATTCTAGAAAGTGGCATGGTAGGACTGACACCTGTGGCTCTGTAGTGCTTGGCAGAGAACCCAATAGGGCATGCATCTTCCCAACCTAAAACAGTGGTGATCAGGGAATCGAAAGAAATTTTAGGACCCTACATTAACTTGGTTCACAATGAAATCAAAGTTCGCTTGAGTTGAAACATCTCATTTTCCAGCCAGCAAGGCAGGGAAGCAGCTGTGCTTCCACCTCCATCCCCACCAGGATGAGGGAGGCACCCTTTGTGGGCTTGAAGCCCCAACCCTTCCCTCAGGCCCTGACAGTGGCTCGGCTGGGGGTCTGGGAATAGAGAGGCAGCAGATAGTCCTGCTGGGGGGTGGGGGCCCTGCAGAAAGGCTCTCAGCCTGGGGCATGATAAAGAGGAATGTTGAGGTAGAGTATGGCTGAGGTTGGAAAGGAAACCACCACCACCCCCAACTCGATCCTGCTATCCCCATCTCCCATAATTTATTGAGAGATGAGCAAATGCTGACTTTTGCATCATGCTGTGTCAGGGTAGGGCAGTTAGAGATGAAGCACCCAGTCCCAGAAATCCTAGTCGACTTGAGTTTCCAGCCTCTGCCTTTGTCTCTACATTTGTAGGAGGTAGGACAGCCCCTGTCCTCTGCAGTGAGCCGAGAGGAAAGATCTAAGTCCCACCATGCTAGGGCTCGAGGATAAACTGGGGGAAATACCATGCCTATGTGTATAATTATACTGCAAGATGTATAATTATACTGCCACTCCCCAGATGTCTGCAAAGGCCAGGGCTGTGCCAGGCCAAAGCCAGGAGCTTCATCTGGGTCTCCCACATGGATACAGGGGCCAAAACATTTGGGCCATCTTTCACTGCTTTCCTAGGCCATTAGCAGGGAGCTGGATTGGAAGTGGAACAATTGATACATGAACCGGTGCCTACATGGGATGCTGGCATTGTAGGTGGCAGCTTTAGCTGCTATGCCACAACACTAGACCCTCAAATTTGGTTTACTATGGCAAAAACCTTTACTTTTTACAAACAAGCTATTTGTTCTTAGATTTCAACATGCAACAGACTCACATGGAACAATAGGTATTAAAATGGAGGTTTTAGGCTTCCTTCTCGACATTTAGATCAGTAGGGGTAGAACTCAGGAATCTGTATCTTCAACTGTGTTTTCATCCCCTTGGACCACACTGATGGTCCATTCGGGCAGTCCAGAAACTCACCTGGACAAATGCTTCTCTAACTAACCTTATTCCAGAGGACGTACATGGGCTGGCTGTGCATACACTTTCCCTTCCTCACCCAGCTTCCTTCATCAGCCATCTCTTCCCATCTCAGCCCCACTCCCTCAGAACTCATGCCAATTGGCCAACCTGCTCACACGTGCATGTCTACACAGATGCCCCTCGAGCAGTGTCAGGAAGCTTCAATCCTCCTTAACTAAGCAGTGCTGCAGTATGTCCCCCGACACTGGGCTTGATTCTCTGTGGAAGAGCCTTTTAGTTTGTCCTTCACAGCCATGGCAGCTTGTCACTCCTGCACACTTATCTATGCCCTGTGTGTCTTCCTCTGAATCTTCTAGCAAGAAACCTTGACTTTCTGATTAGCTGCTTCATAAATGGGATGGCAGGACTAATATGTACGCATCCACTCATCAAGCCAGAGAAACAAACTGCAGAGGGGCACAGCCTTTCTTCACTATACTCCTCTCCCCTGAGTAGAAAGTACAATCCTCACACACACAGTGAGACCAGTGTGTAGGGGTATGTGTGTGTGTGTGTGTGTGTGTGAGAGAGGAGAGAGAGAGAGAGAGAGGAAGACAGAGATACACACACAACATATGTGTGCAAGAAGGTGATGCTGCTAACGGCCCCAATTTTTTCTTCTTCCTAGCTGGAGACAAATTCAGATCAAAGTTCCTAAAAATGCCATAAAAAGGGGAAAACAGTCAGTTTCCTTCTTCCCAGTCCAACCCAGGCTATTTCATATTTCACAGTGTACAGTGAACTCTCGCCACTTTCCCTTATGCAGCCATGCCCAGGACCCCTGGCTGCCCTGCTCAGTTCTCACCTCTGTGTAGGCCTGGGTCACTTGTTCATACAGGGACTGGTGGTGGTGGATCGCCAGCTCCAGGTCCTGCATCTCGGACGGCAGGCCACCTTCACTGCACATCTTGCACCAGGCGTCCACTCCCGACAGGAACTAGAAAAAGAGGCTGGGTGGGTCAGTGTGGGAGCTCTCGAGCTGGGGAAAGGGTGGGTTATATGAAGGGTCACGTATCTTTAGAAGAAGCATGAAGACTTCCGCAGGCTCTCAGAGACCTCTATAGAAGGTGGGTTTCCCCCTTTATTTCTACAACACTAACCCCTTGCAAGAAGTCTGACCCAGGCATCTGTTTAGGAAGTGCAGTTTTCATAATGGCCACCATTCTGAAACCCCGGGGGGTAGGGGGCAGGGTGAGGCTCCCGGATATTCAGCAGGTTACACCCACAAGTGGATGGTAAAGTATAGGAATAGAAACAGCTCAATCTATCCCATGGACAGTTTAGAGCTTCCTGCCCTACCCACACTCACAGGCATGAGACATTTCCACGTGTGCTTTATGATGCGTACACTAAGCTGGGAAGAGGAGCAAAGGACATCCCACACAGGGCCATCAGGAGCCTCAGGCAACCTGTGGAGACCATTCCCACAGCATAAGGAGGTGAGCGCTCAGCAGGACTCCCACTGAGTCCTGAGATGTGGCAGTAGGAGGGACAGCAGAGAGGAACAGACTGCTATGCCTATACTGTCAGTGGCTCCTGGGAGAGCTATGTAGATACACACCTTTACACACATCAAATTATTTGAAAATTAAAATTAACAGCTGTGGAAGACTATGGGTCTCCATGCACAAAGGGTGAGCGATCTGAAATCACTCTGATTACTGAGTGGAAAAATACACCTTTAAAATGCAAATAATTCTTCACCAACAATCTGGAATAGTCTGTCTGTGATTCCTCTTGCCTGGATGCACTGCTCCATTTCAATTAATGGCCTAACTACCTTTTTAACCCATTACTGAGAATAGCCCATAGGAGAGCAATAAAGAGCTGCCTAAATAAATGCAAAAGAATAGTCCTGGACCAGTATTTTCTTTCTCCAGCTAAAAGGAAGTATGGTTTATGAGTTTCCTGAAGGACAGGTAATACCTGAGGAAATCACATTTAAAAATTGATACAAATAAAATTGCTTCTGATTCAAACCAATCAAAGTCAGGAAACATCAAGAAAAGGTTAACTCCTCCAGCTATCCTGAGTTCTAGCACTGAGTAGCCTTCTCAAGTTGTTTGACAGCTTGTCTTAGAGTCACTGTCAGCTTTTTTTTTTTTTTTTTTTTTTTTTTTTTTTTTTTTTTTGACAGGCAGAGTGGACAGTGAGAGAGACAGAGAGAGAAAGGTCTTCCCTTGCCGTTGGTTCACCCTCCAATGGCCGCCGCTGCAGCCGGCGCACCGCGCTGATCGATGGCAGGAGCCAGGATCCAGGTGCTTCTCCTGGTCTCCCATGGGGTGCAGGGCCCAAGCACCTGGGCCATCCTCCACTGCACTCCCTGGCCATAGCAGAGAGCTGGCCTGGAAGAGGGGCAACCGGGACAGAATCCGGCGCCCCGACCGGGACTAGAACCCGGTGTGCCGGCGCCGCAAGGTGGAGGATTAGCCTATTGAGCCACGGCGCCGGCACTGTCAGCTTTTAATCCCTGCCTGTTGGCTGTTGTGGATGGTTTTTCGTTCTGTATGTTTTTCTAACTCATGAAGCCCTCCAGGGGCTCTGGAAGAATGCCAGGTGTCACCCAGTATCAGAGTGCACACACTTGCTGATATCCCAGAAGCCTCTTTACTGCCAAATACTTTACAGAGGAACAGGGGAACAACCCAACTTTTGTATCAGTCATGGGAGAAGCATCTCTTCTAGACCTTTGGAATTTCTCTGTAATTCTCTAAGAGGAGTCCCACAGCTCAAGGAAAGAAAGCCAGGGAGACAAAGAGAAGCACTATCTTCTATGCCAATGTGGATAAATCTTGAATAAAATAAACAAATGACAAGGTTGAAGAGAGAGCAGGAGGTTCAACATTCTCATAGACCTACGAAAGAACCAGAGGTGGGCATTTGGCCTAGTGGTTAAGATGCCCACATCTCATACTGGAGTGCCTGGGTTCAATACTCACCTCAGGCTCCTGACTCCAGATTCTGCTAATGCAGATCCTGGGAGGCTCCACAATGATGGCCCAAGTCATTGGCTTCCTGCCATACATGTGGGAGACTTGGATTGAGTAAACCAGTGGATGGGGGTTCTCTCTCTTTCAAAAAAAAAAAATCAGTCACTACCACCAACCTCCTTAAAAGCAAACAAAAAATCTCCACAAAAAGTCAAAGTGTAGGACTGTGGTTCACCTGTGATTCAAGCATTTATTGTAGAACATTGGAAGATGGCAAGTGGAAAAAAACACAGGTGAAGAGAATAAAAGATATCAAGATAGTGTGTTGAACAAATAACTCACATGTTTACCACTTGGTAAGCACACTGGGCAACTCATGTGTGCCATTGCGAATGTTTAATTCTTAAACAGCCCTGTGATGTTTATGATTGGCTGCCACATTAGAGACGAGAGCAAACAAGCCTCAGAATGCTGAGGTGACTTGCCGAACTTAATGAACAGTGGAGCTGAGAATAGAACTCACACGATCTGGCTTCAAAGTCTAGGCTCTTTCAGTTATCCCATGCTTCCTTCCATGTAAGAGTGGGTAACAGAGAGTGGTGTTAGTAAGTATTTAACAACCAGCATATATATGTGTGTATATATATATATATATGTGGTGGTGTGTGTGTGTGTATATAATATATATGTGTGTGTGTGTTATGGATATTACAAATGAGTGTGTATGTATGTATATGTATGATATTACATATGCACAAGTGCATTATAAATTTTACTGATATAAAAGGTATGTAACACAAAGAGTAACATATAGCAAGTTGATTCTCACAGGGTGCTTTGTTGAAGTCTTGAATCCACAGTCAATCTATGGTTGAAATCGACAAATAGGCACAGTTTTGACACAAATCCTGTTGATTTTCTCTTATGTTAAGGAAAATAAAAGTGAAAAACACCTGAAGGCTTAATGTTGGAACATCATTTATTCATCAGTAATGTGAGTGCCTTCTTTGCTGGATCAAATACTAGCTTTTGATTACTACAATATCATTCCCTCAATGTTATGTGCTTTTACAATGTAATAGGTACAGATGACTCTTTTTAAAGTTTAGTCTACATTTTCTTTCTCATTTTCTTAAGACTTAGACAATCAATTAAACACATAATTGAACGTCATAGCATTTGATGATTTCCATTGAGTAAAATTCCTATCTGGTCTATTTCAAGCTACAATGTGACATCACCAAATAAGGAGTTGGGAAGAGATAATCAGTAGCACACAATTGTATAGTATGCCCACCATGTTAAAAAAGGAAAACAAAAATAATCTCAAGATGTAGATAATAATAAAATACAGGAATATAGTCAGGAATTAATGATTTTGGAGTATGGTGTCTCTCTGCCTTTCAAAGGGTTTGGTTCCAGGATCCCCTGTGGATCTCAAGTCCCTTATATAAATGATGTAATTTGCATATAATTATGTACATCCCATAGGCTTTATAGTTTTTAAAAGACTTATTTATTTGAAAGGCAGCAGAATGATGGGGCAGGGGAGGGGAGGAGGTGGTAAGAGATCTTCCATCTGCTGGTTCACTCCCTAAAGGGTCACAACAGCCAGGGCGGGCCACACTGAGGCTGGGAGCAAGAAACTCCATTCAAGTCTCCCACAGGGTGGCAAGGGTTGAAGCACTTGGGCCATCATCCACTGCCTCCTAAGCACATTAGCAGGGAACTGGATCTGAGGCAAAGCAGTTGGTAATTGAGCCTGCACTTGAAATGGAACTCCATAGGAAAATTCACCACCCTTCCCATACACTTTAATTTATCTCTAGATAACCTATATATCTAATACAACCAAATAAATGCTATAGTATACTATGTTGTGGAGAGAATAACAAGAAAAAGTCTGTGCATGTTCTGTATAGAAGCAGATTTAAAAAATAAATTTCCAATCCCAGTTGACTGAATCTGTGGAAGCACAACCAACAGATGCAGAGAACCAACTATACACTTTTGTTTTTACTACAACATATTTAATTATAAATGTATATAGTTGAGTTTTAGGTAATTATTATTATTAGGTAATGATTATATTTGACAACCAGCTCACAAAATTCCCGAAAATTTAAGAACTAGCCCTCCATGAGCTAGTCCAAGCCAGGCTGCAACACTCCTTGAGATCTAGGCAGGTTAACCCATCTCTCTGAGATGCGATGCTCCTCTCTATAAAATGGGTTGGTAATGTCACTTACAATGCCTGGCCACTAGTAAATGGCAACAAGCGATCATCATCTACTTGTGGTATTATCACAATAATTATCCATAGCAAGGGCTTCATGTAAAATTTGCTTGCTCTGCTCTCCGAGTTATCCACCCTTCATTCTCACCCTTTTCGTCTTTGCTCACAGAACGCACACTAAGC